ATAATTCAATTGTACAAGGATTTGTTTGACTCATCAAAGAGATACTATGCTGCTAGTTATTATTAGAAATGAGGATTTTGGTTCACGTGACAAAGCAATACTATTATGGGTTTACAGTACCAGTTCTGAATGACATGTATGCGTGTAATGAAATTATCAACGAAGCTAACCAAGTGGGACTAATGACACTTTTTGTTTAGTGACTATGGCATTTTGTCAAAACTTGAACCACATCGCTGTTACCAATTTTACTGCATGGCTTACTACAAACTCATAATAGTCAATATATCAGTTCCGGGGCTGTAACAATGAATTTTAACAATGTAATCATCCATATTTATACTACACGAATAGCATACTATTCTTGGTTTAGTCAATTTTACACCCTTATTCACACAAACAAGCACAACTTTTGATGACAGAAACATGCAATGACAGTTTTATATGTCCCCCGCCATTATGCAGTATTTTGACAGCCATTCAGTCTTGGCTTATTATAATCTTTAGGCGTAGAGGGATGAAAATAAAGCTTTCATTATCTCTAAATGTGTTTATATGGTCCTATAAAAATGCTATCTTACAAGGAGACATTCAATTAGGTAACCTTCTCTAAAGTATTGCTGTGATATGTGTATACGAACCTTCAAGTTTAGACGTAAAGGTCACCAGGTCACTAGGATTTTCAACAGAACTGATGTGAACACCCTTGTATCTGTCAACAGTTCCAGTGAACCCACTACTTGCGTCTGTTGACATATTTTCTGCCATTTGGATACCAAAGGTTGTATTCTTGTTCCTTGGTTTCCTTTAAACAAAAAGTGCAAATTATAATTGATTAGCAACCAATTTAAAAACTTCTGAATAGGAATATTAACAAAATTAAGGTCAATATGGCATTAGAGCCAATCAAAATGGTTGTTAGAAAAATTAATTAACCAAGTTTTGCAAGGCTTTGAGACAAGTTGGTGACAGATACATGACTTGCTGATTTCACTGAGGCCTTCAACACAGTCTCCCGTTCTTTTTTATAAACTATATTACTATGGCGTTAGGAACTGTGAATTAAACATAATTCAATCCTATCTTGAAACCCGTAAGCCATAGGTCGGGATAGGAAATTATTAAATTCTGATATTTCCAAAGGAATTGAGTACTGGTGTTCCGCAGAAGACCATTTTAGGACCTATCCTGCTTTTGATTTTTATTAACGACTTCAGTTTAAAATGTCCCTACTCATCAGTACTTTATGCTAATGATAGTACCCTGTTCAGCAAATATGATGTTCTAATATGGGATACAGTTCAACAGAGATCCTATAATAATCGCATGAATAACGATAAAGGCTATATCAATATGTATCCGATTCAATATTAATATTGCATCGGATTATATTAAAGCATATCATAAATAGAAACAATGACAAAAACATTAAAGAAGCTTTTTGGGTCTATTTTACCCTTAATTCAGGGCCGATTTACCGAATAGGCATGGTAGGCACGTGCCTAGTGCGCAAGGCAATTGGCTTTTTTGGGAGGCGACAAAAATTTGTAAAATAAAAAAAATTGGTGGTAAACTTATATTATCCCTCGCGGCCGTGTAGACATCGTAATCATCTCCTGCGTTTGCGGCAAGATTCTTACTATTTTCAACGGTCGGGTCGTTTAGTAGACATGATTACCAATTATAATAACTTATTATTTCTTATCGTTTTCCATGATTGAGGCAATACCTATATGAACATATCCCGTGGTCGAGAGGAGATTACCGTCGTCTACCACGAATGAGGAAGAATTCTGCCTATCCTCGTCTTGGTAATCATCTCCCTTGGTCTTGTGGAGATCATCATCCTCTTCTGCAAACTAGGCAAAATTTTAAATTTTGACCTTTTATCGTGATCGTATGGTCATTCTCATCGTCTTACGCGATCACAATAAAGTTCTGATCACCCCTTGCGGCCGTGAAGACATCATTATATCTTCCCCCGAATTCGTTTGGACATAGTAATCGCCTCCCGCGAATGCGGCAAAATGGTAATCATCTCCAGAGGACATATGGTGATAATCATCTTCTGCGAATGTGGCAAAATTCTGATCTTTTCCTGCGGTCATGTGGTCATTATCATCGTCTTGAGCGTACGCGGCATAATTGTGATCATTTCTCGCGGCTGTGTAGAAATCATTATTGTATCCCGCGGTTCTGTAGACATCGTAATCGTTTTACGCAGTAGTGAAGACATCGTAATCTTCCCTTGCGGCTCTGTAGATGTCATCATTGTCTGCTGCGATCGCAGAAATATCTGAACATCGCTCGCGGCCGTGTGTAGACATATTATCGTCATCCGCGGTCACGGAAACATCACTGTTGTCATGGGTGATCACGGTAAATTGAAAACTCCAGGTAGAAATACAAAATTCACACAACTCCCGGTTGAAAAAACTCCCTCATAATTCCCGGATTTTCCGTTCGGTGGACACCCTGTTATATATTGCAAAGGGGTGCTACTACAGTATTAGTTGTGACTTGGGCACTGACAGGGTAAAAAACGGGCCTGCCTTAATTTATTATATCCTAAGTAGGTAATTACAATTAGAAATCAAGGAAACAATTAATTTTATAATCCTATGCAGTTATCATATTAATTACAGTATTGAAAACTGCGTTAGTTATGATCGCAGGGGTAAGTTAAGTACTTTAAAGGGAATCCCCTGTTAAAGGGAACACTCATTATTAGATGATTGTTTATCGATATTTCGATCCAATATCAACGAATTTAAACATATCAGCTGATAACCGTGATAGATAAATATTGTTCAGTATCAAAAAGTAATTTAAAAAAAAATATACTGAAATGAAACTGTTCTAAGCTAACCTAACCAACCAAACTTGCTGTATTATTTCAAAACTCCGTTTGATGATTCCCCACATGCCTTTTCTGTTAGGTATCAAATGGAATTTTTTAAATGGTAAAACAAGTTTGGTTAGTTATGTTAGGTTAGTTTAGAACAGTTCCATTTCTTAATCCAAATAGGTTTATTGTTTTTGCTTAAACAAGATCAGTTGTCAATTTGTAATTTAAATGCGTTTGAAGATATTGAAAAAAATCATCAATAATAATGAATGTTCCCTTTTTAACAGGAAAGTACCGTACCGTAGCCTATTTTGTTGTTTGGTTATTAAGTTACACGTTACTGTATTTTTACTCAGTATTTAATCTTGGCTATTACCATATAGACTACTTAGTCATAATGAGCTAATCCCAATATGTGATTAACCTGTAAAATTAGTGTTATTTAAATCCGTTGGCAGTAAGTTAAATAAATAAAATGATTAAGTAACTTAGCCTAGGTTAAACAAATAAATTTGATGAAGTAAACAACTCATGACTGGAGTTAAGTTTTATAAATAAAATTCTTGGGTAGTCCTTTGTCCAAAAACTCAATTGAGTTCGTTCAAAATGTTACCTAATTTATGAGGAACCTTAGGCCCAAGCCTGTATCCCTTATAAGTTAATTTTTCTTGGTAGGCTACACGAGTTTAATCAAGGTCTAGTTTCGGATGCACTTTAGTTTATGTCCTACACTCGTACACAGATTATTCCCCTATATCGATTATTTCATTCGTTCTAACCAAACTTGAAGTTATCAAATGAAGTAATCTATAACTTATATTCATTTGAATGAGTGTAGGACGTAAACAAAAGTGCAGTCTGTTGATAAAATGCAACTATATCCTTCACCTCGTTGGACAACGATAAAGCCATAATTATTTAGGATACGAAAGAGTATGCATACTTACAGGCAATGACTTCGACTTCTAATTGTTTGATATTGAAAGGTTATCAGCAAACCTAATTTCAAGTGTCTCTTCGCTTGTTTTAAACATGATGCTGGTATTACATAACGGCAACAAGGTAATAGAAAGGATTTGAACATTTAAGTAAAAATTTTAAAACTAAAAATCATAAATTATCTAATATACTAGGTCCTTACCAATAACAAAACATAAATTTTTTGATAATTTTACAAATAAATTTAATAATTTAGCTCTACTGCTCTAGCAGAAGGTTTCCTTTATCTGTGCCCTCGCCCTGTGCTTATTAAGTTCAGTTCAGACTTCAGTCAGTGAGTCAGTCTGAGTCTGTTCTATTATTTATTAGAACCCAAAACTAAATCCAATCCAAACCAGTGCCAGTTGGTGATCAAGTTCGACTTGGACTGGGACAGTTCAACCATAGATTAAATCTAGGTCCAACATCGATCTTCAATGTTTCCGAAACATCGATGTAAAAAAAAAAAATACATATTAGACAATATCGAAGCGGGAATAGTTCTATATGTATCCTCGGAACTGTAGCTTCATTTGTGTGCAATTTGAGCCCAGTAGGTTCAGTAGTTTTTGAGATTAGCTCATACAAACACACAGACACCCCCTCTTCTTTATAATAGTATGTAAGTAAGGACTAACGAGTTACAGTAGACCACGGCCGCCTTTAGAGGTGGCCATGGTTGGAGTCCATCGATCGATGGCCAGCCATGGCTAGTGTACTTATAAACTTATACACAATTACATCGTAAGTTTATTTCCGGAGTAACAGATATTCGCTGAAACATAGGCCTCCATCTGTGTATAATTTTTCTTAATTCCTAATCTTCCATATTGCTAGCTCACTATACACGAATAATATCACTATCTATGGCTATCTTAATTCACCATTGATTATAGTCCATACTATATTTCCGATCGGCGATCACATCTTCCTGTCATCTTTCTTATCTCCAGATTTCTGGTCCGGAAATCTAAAAAGTGCTCGATCGACGCTCAGTCCAGTTCCGCTTCCTCAGCCTAGCAGCAGTGCATTAATTTCAGTCAGTTCTCGTTCTCACTTCACTTCCACTATTCATTTATTTTAGTTGAAGTTGTTGAAGTTCAAGGGATGAGAAGTGAAGAAGTGCAACCAACTGCTGGTAGTAGTCTATCCTATCCCTCTCGTTAGTTTGAACTAGTTTGACTTTTTTGTTGTGGTTCAAGATCAAGACAATTTCTTGTTTGAATAGTAAAATAAAATGGTGAGTATGTAAATCTTTATTCCTAAAAACCAAAGTTAAATGTTTTAAAGTTGTTCTTCAAGTGCTGACCACTAAGTTAAGTGATGGATTGATCATTAACACAGAGATTTCCAGAGCAAGCCTACATTGCACAATATTTTTGTAATTAATAATGACCTATTTTTCAATGTTTTCAATGTCAAAACTTTCTCTTATTTGACAAATTTCACAGCCCATTTTAACTTTAGGCCAGTAATACACTATCATAGTTATTATGCCATATATCTTTTATCAAATATGATAGTTCTCTCTAGGGGAACATATTACCATAGTTAAAACACTCCCTTAGATTTTACAAATCATATCATATTTCAACTATTAAAGTAGTTGGTCCATTCATTACACTGTGTAATACTTTCATCAAAGACATATATATTTCTTAGAACTAATATAGTGTAATAACAGCCTTAATCCACCCACCAAACCTCTGGATTATTAGTTTACATAACTTTTAGCAAATTTTATAGGAAATATAGGAAAATCGGACCCGGGACTGTTTTCCTTTTTTGTTTTGAGGTCCCCAGAGTCCAAAAACACCCTCTGTTCAAATTGGGCGACCAGCGAGTTGGCGACCAGCATGATCGAACTATGGGAATGGGGTTTTTGGAGGGTTTTATGGGGTAGAAATTGGTTTTTCCCATTTTTTCGCCCAAAAAACATAAAATTTCACAATTTCTTTCCAGACCATTTGGAGAGCTTAAAAAAAATTTTGTATAATGAGGTGTTATTGAATGCCTAACGGTTAGGCTATGGAGATAATAAATACCCCCGCCGCAGCAAACCTGCCGACTAAGCAAATTTCCATTTGTCTTAATTGATTTTCAATTAAATATATTTTAATAACATTAGGTTTAACGAGTACCTAGGTTTGCTGCTACAAGGAAACTAATAAAGTGTGTTTTTTTGTCAAATATTGATAGCTTAGTACAAAATAAATAAATTTGATCAAAATACAAAATACATCCATAAACAAGCAAACTACAACATTTTACAATATTCTCCATAAGAAGAACATGGGAATTTTAAATTTACAATTTTTTTAATTTTCTCCGTTACTATTAACCGAACAAAAATACTTTTAAATACTAAATTAATTGTTTTTTTAAACTCTTTAAAAAGGTCTAAAGAGAAATTGGGAAATTTTGTGTTTTGAGGGTCAAAAGTGAGAAAAACCAATTTTTACCCCATAAAACCCCCCGTAAAGCTCCGTTCCCATGGTCCGATCATGCTGGTTCGCGAACTCATTCAATTTTATCCCGCTTTACACCTTGAAACCAAATTTCATCAAAATCGGACAAAAATTACTCAAGTTATCGCGTTCACGGACGTATATATATACTTTTGTGCCCACCCGGTTTGGCAGTCAGTGCGCTGGTAATTTACTCGGTGTGGCAGTCACCCGCCCGAAAGCCAGTCAGCTCTCCCATAAGCCAGTCAGGTATGGCTTCCCGTGCACTTTATACGTATGAAAACAGCAAACCGGTGCTGCTGCCTGTGTCGATAAGCGTAACTGCAATACCAATGCGGAGACTGTCTCATCGTGTGTTCTATCGTGGAGTAGTGTAGCCAGTACGGCACCCTACCCTACTTTGTAGCGGTAAAACCCAGCGGTCTGTAACCTTCGTTTACTCCTTGTTACTATTTGTGTTGGGATAGTGATTAACTACGTGTTAATGTTTAAACATGTTCATACTCCAAATAAATATGATGCACCTCTAATAAGGATCGTCGAATATTAATTAATTATAATTGGTTGAATCTTGATCCTACCCGTTCATCATCTCATATTTTAAGTTATTTTGATTTTTTTTACCTTCAGTTGAAATTTTAGTCAACTTCTCCTTTATACAATATTTTTTATCCTAGTATTTACAGTGTTTCCACGGACCGGGAACTATACGGATTTTCTTTATCTCGAGAAATATACGTGAATCTTGTCCGAGATACTGGAACTGTTTTTTACGCAATTGCGTAACGTGAAGGAGTAACTATTACATATGACAACGATATTATTCTATCTGATAAGAATAACCATGAAACTACACTCGAAAGATAAAATATTTTTATAATAATTTCAATTTTACAAACAAACTATTACAGGAATTATATTTTGGGACGGATGAATGATAAGGAAGCAACAAAAAGTGGTCACGAGTGCAAATACGGGGGGGGGGGGAGGGGGGTACAATATAACGAACGCCAGAAACGATTATTTGTTTACTTTTCAGATTCCTTATCAAATCTCTCTCTCTATCTCTCTCTCTCTCTCGCTCTCTAACAATGTACAGATTGTGGACTTTACTATTTAAGTTTTCCTGCAATTATTTCAGTTCAATCCCATACCTATCCTTATGGTTTCCTATCTATTATTTTTCAAAATAAATAGTAAAGCAGGTTAAACTATTTTTTATTTTATTTTCTTGAAACCAAACACTCTTTACCATCCGGTATTCTGCAGAGTCAAATGTTTAACACTGTGTTTATAAAAATTGAATTGCCACTCAATTTTGTGTTTTATTTTTTTTTACTTATAGTAACTGGGATATTTATATATACCAATAAGTGCTGCAAGCTGTAATAAATGCTGCTGATTAATATCAAAATAAGTTATAATTTATTTTGTATAATACATCGGTCATTGAATACAAACCATATAATGGGTTTTCTATTTGTAACTTGCAAATACAGTAGAACCTCGCTTAACTGGAGTCGCATCATCATGATGCCTATATATTATATAACCTCACAAATCCCAAGAAAATGTTTTATTAACTGTGTTTTTCAGTCTTATATTTCGATATGAACGATATATTTAACTATTTACGGTAATTTTTATGTGCAGTAGGTTCCCAATTATTGAAATATTACAGTTCATTTAACAAAAATAAGATGGAAGCAAAACGGAGAAATATCGATCAGTATCGTCAAGGTCAACCTATACGCTCGCACCTACAGACTGACAATCTTGCACTGACACTGACATACTGACAATCGTCTGCTTCTGTCTGCTGTCACAACACTACAATATTTTGTGGTTGGGTCGTTGGGTGATTAGTAACCATGACAACTTGTGGATGTAGAGAAACCAAAGAAAGAATAGAACAAAGAGAAATAATAAGAGGTGTTTTACATCATTTTTATCTTATTTTTATCATTGTTATTATTACCAGAAAGACTTAAGTACAGTACTATGATTTTATGGTGTTTTATGAGTTATTTAATATTTTTATCCCCATACTTCTGTTCTGAAACATCATGTAGTAGTAGCCTAGGATGACTACGGTATCAGTAGTCTTCTAGTCTACATTTTCATTTTGTTTTGTTCTTTACGTGATTTATTGCTGTACAGTAAGCAAGTTTTGTTTTGTTTGAGTAAGCATACGGTGTAGTTTTTATTAGTAAACCAAGGTTAATGACTTAACATATCACGGTTGCGCAATACCTATTGTATTTTGACTATGTAAAATGCAAATTTATAATCACGTTAACGTCCATTTATATAGTGTCCCGGAACGGCATTGTTCCTGAGTAAGAAACATATAAATATCATATTTAAACTATCCAGAAGTCCTTAGTTACTCACACGGGGAAAAAAGTTTTAGGCCTAAATCATTTGAAACCTGTACATTACATATTTTTGGTCGAGTTTTCGACCACTGGACGACCACTAGTTAAAGTTAATTGTATTACAACAATCTTTATAGTAAGCAATATAAGCTTGAATCGGACTTATCTGCCTTCAGCTAATCCATCATATGATAGTACGTTAGAGAGTATGCCCATGCAGTTTTTAAAAATTTGTTTGGTTCCCCTAAATGGCCGAAACTATAGAAATTACTCAGTATTTTTCACGCTGAATTCAAAGAAGGCTATTAGTAGTATGAAAATCACACAGTATTTAATACAAAAATTAAAGCTTATGCCTATGTATATTAGTTTTAAAACAGAGTAGAATAAGGCACCTATAATCTAGATTAGGCATTGATTAGTGTTTATAAACTAAACATGGATGAACCACTAAGTCAAGCTACTAATCCAGTTGTTCAGGCTAGGCTAAACTGAACTCTGAAAGCATCCATCTCAAAACGGCCACAACTTAAGAACAGATCCTAGAATTTGATTTATTTTAAACTTTATTTTTCTGAAATAGATAGCTAAACTGTCCAGTGCAATCATCCCACACTGCAAATAGCAACACTCAAACTTAGTTAGGTAAGCTAGTGGTAGGTTACAACTAATTATTATCCCTGTGACCGGTTCAGTGTAACATCTGACATCAGTCAGAATCAGACGACATTATTGACAACGACACTCGTCGTGTCGTTTCTTTAATTTACGGTATAATATACAGTAGTATAAAACATCTACCATATCCATAATAATGTTCTACCACTGAACCTAAACAGCAGAAAAAAGCAAATTACCAAATTCAAATCACCAAGATTCGCACAATATGACAAATTATTTATAAATTTAAAACAGTATATCTTCTGTGCCAGTAGTTAATGCGTGATTGAACTTCAAACAAACAAACAAACACACAAACTTTCACATTTATAATATTAGTAAGATAAGATGTATTAATTAAATATTAATTACTAGCTGTGTGCCCGTTCTACGCACGGGGATCCTCTAGTGGTCAGTTGAAACCTTCCTAAATAAAGAAAAACTATTGGTTTGCATATTTTCAGATATGCTAGCCAAACTATACAAACAAATACAGTATCTGACAGTTTCAAGTAAAAAAAAATGCGTAATAGATCTATGAGGGGTACACTTCCATATCTGTTGGCACAAACAACTAAATTAGTAATATTGATTATTCGATTGTTTAATTCCATATATCGTTTGGTTAGTTAGGTTAGGTTAACCTTACCTAACTAACCAAACAATATATAGTTAAAATACTATACCTCAACCTCGCCATTAAACATTCAGGTTGGAAATTTCACTATCAAAGG